TTTTTTGTTGATAAAATTTTTATTGCATTCATTTATTTTTCTCCGTACATTATCTTGAACTTCACTTTTCTTCTTTAACACTAAGATATCTTTTACTAACAAACACTTTGTTTTCCATTTTTTCCAGACGTATGTTCCCCATCCTTGATTTTCGTCTATCAGGAATGGAAGCAAACCAGTACTACAGCTGCATGGTGCAGATCGTTAGCATAGACAATCATCATTACCGTTATGACTTGACCAATGACAAGTGGGTTGTGACTGGGTCAGCGGTGAAGCTTGACGTCCAACACTCTCGTTGCCTACACCCCCATGGATCAACACTTGGAAGAGTATGGATGAAAGAGGGAGCGAAATTCGACAAGTTAAAGCTGTCGAACAATGTCAAACCATACTGTGACTATGTGAGTATTGCCAGGTATTAATATAGCTTCTGGAGTTGTAGAACGCGTTGCAACATTGGGCTTGTTTTTAGGAACGCTTTTTTATGGCGTTTTTTTGCTCGCTCATGGTGAAGAGTGATCTAGCAACCTAACTTTTCGTGTTAATTTTCGTTTCTTGGCACATAATACACCAACTCACTGATAATTAATGTTTCTTATTATTATTCTCGTCGATCAGTAACACATAGGGTATTGTTGCGATATTTAGTGTTGTTTGTAGTCGAACAAACCATTCAAAACACTCGATTATTCGTGTTTAGATGTGTGCCCACAATTATTTTCGGTCGTGTGATCTCCAATCACCTATCCGACCATTCGCTGTCCGCTTTGTGCCCCTTCAGTCTTTTTTTTTCCTTTTTTCTTTCTTTCGTAAAAGCTGTATTTAATGCAATATGAAATGCCACAAAACCGATTTTATCGATTTTATCGACTTACTCTGAAGCAACCTCTTGGCTGATCTAAATCAGGAAACGACTCGCTCACAGATCGCTTTGGAATTTAGGATGCTAGGTTTTGCGGACAGAAGAAATGGATTGATGAGTTACCTTTATTAGCGTTCTTTTCCTGCATTGCATTATAAAATATTTATGATAATCAAGAGGTAATTTTCTTTTTTTCTTTCCCAGATTATATTATCATCGTTACAGAAGTACAAAGCCCAGTTGATAGTCACTAGACTAGACCTTCCTCACTGCGAGAGGTGGATCTTCGATTTCCCTGAAACGGCCTTCATCGCAGTCACGTGCTACCAGAACCCTACCATCACAAGACTAAAGATCGAACATAATCCATTTGCCAAAGCATTCAGACAAGGAAAAAGGTAAATCAAGAGAAACTAAACTAAAACCTTGCTAATAATAAGCTGCACAAGGACTCTTTTAAGATAGCGAACACGGTGCATTGTGGTCTAGCTTGGGTAAAAACATCAATTTGTAGACGTTTGGTTTATTTACACCAAAGAGGTTTGACTCATTTTTAGTTCGAGGTTTGAGCCTTACTCACGCAACAGCCATAGACCTTTTCTGAGATAGCGATTATGGTGCATTGTGGTCTAGATTGGGTACAAACATCTTTTGTCCATCATGCCTTATATGCTGTTGTTTGTACTGAAGCTAGACCACAATGCATCCTGCTGTTTATCGAACTCGGAAAGCCACAGACGTCTTTACATTCAAGTATAAACGTTTCTAGTAACTCTGATTACACTGAAGGTTTTTCACAGCTCGTTATATAAGTTACGCTAACACAACCAATATTATTTTTGAAGGTCAATGAACCAAGATGAGGACACGGAAAAGCAGAATAGGTCGTGTAACTCTACCAAGTCGACAAAGCGTCCGCGCTTACAGATCTCATCACCGCCACCCGTGACCAGACTTCACCCACCACCTCTTGGTCATTTCCCGGAAACTGTTCCGTCAATCCCAACACCCCCACCACCCCCTCTCCCACCTATGAATTTGTACTGTCAGTCATATCCTTCAAGAGAAACGATGGTTAACCAACAATCGAGGTAAATATACGAATTAACATATGGACATTAGTTTTTTATGTGTCTGTCCTCTTATTGACGATAARTTGTGTTATCACATTATCAAAGTAGTGTGGATCCACGAGACGTACTATATCAAAAACGATAAAAGTTTCTCATATTTTTACTCATCAAAACGATTAAGGGAAAGAGCGCGCGCTTGTTGACGTCAGCTTTATCTGCCTGTCCTTTTGATGATAACAAAAAAAAACAATCAGCGCGCGAGAAATTTGTAATTTTTATAAAATATATATTTTATGTGTTCCATATTTTACTTGTCTGAAAGATAATTCGTTGTATGTCGACGGTATTTGTGGGGCCCTGTCACGTGGCTTCTCAAACGTCAAAGTTAACTCGATTTTTCGGATACGTTTTTGCATACACTATATTTATATATTAGTGGACATGTCCTAGCAATATTGTTTGGGTGATTGTAAAAGCCTCTAATTTGATTGGGTAACACAGAAATGCTTATCAGCTAAGCTTCCTTTTTCTCATTTCCGTTTTATTTGATTTTCTTTCAGATTTATTCCTCTAATGAACGATCCTATCCTCTGGGAGCCACCTCAGGCCTCCATGACGTCACAGCGAACTTGTCTTCCACCGATCAACACTAGTTTCCACTTCGAGGCACCTCAACCCCAGTGCCTCAAACAGGAACATCAGACCTGTACTAACGTTCCTCAAACCTGGTTTTCTGACCAACAAGACGTCTGTGGAAACCTCTATGGTACAAACTGGGTGCCGACAAACAGCTGCTCTCTATATGAAGACATACAATTACGTCACCATGGTTACGACAATATGTTTTATCGGGAAAACTAGAACGAAGTTTTCGAGTATAAGTAAACCACAGGAAGCCCACTTTAGAAAAAACTAATAAATTTCAACCAATCGAAAAATGGTTCAGTTAGCAAACGACATCTTGCGTCGCTTTTATTTCACAATATTATTTTTATCTACGTGGGCTTCCTTAATTACTTTAATTCTGGTTTTGATGTTAGATTTTTGCTATACTTATTTATGCGGAACTTTGTCTATTTATAAAATCAAAACGCGCGAGTTCAGCGTTTTGACACGTGAACATTTCCAGTACAACTTGTCTCTCGAAAAGATTGCGCAGCCTTTTGTGCATGTAAGTTATTCAGTGCAATTTTTATCATCTATTTTCTTTTGTTAAACCATACCTTATACCTTCGTTAAACTTTCAAGTTTTTGTTTTGCGCGAGACAAGTTGCGACAAGGAATCTTAGCGTTTAAAACCAACCTCAAGCAGTTTTTCAAACCTCATTTGTTTGGGTCAAAACATCGTTCACAGTTATTTCTACTCGCGCACTTCAATGAGCTTTGGATTTAAAAAAATTATATATCTCAGTAATTTGGTTTTACAAGTTGAAATATAAATAACAATATTTATAATGTTAATATTAGCTTATATTTTCGAACTGTAACTGAAGATGACTTCGATCAAAAATTAATAATGATAATAAAAAAAGAATTTGAAACACCTGTTTTGTCTTGTTGAAGATATAACTAGCTAAAAACTAGTGTGAGCTGCGTCGGTGTTTCTAATGAAACAGTAATGATAAAAAGGTAAATTATACACCGTGAAAAGATGAAAAAACTTTCTGACGTTTCGGATGCTAGTCCGTCGGAGTAAAAGAGGACCTTTTTATCATTACTTCTTTGTCTTGTTGTTTGTTTGGTTGTCTTTTCACTGTTTCTGACTTCACTAAATACTCGTTTACAGTCCACTGTTCGCAGATATATTGAGTCCTCTTTGCTATTATGGCCAACCCAACAAAAATAATGTTATTTTCTCATAAAAAAAAGAAAATAAATAAAAATATACCTAAATCAAATAATTACCCATTTTAGACGACAATTTATTGTTAAGTTGTATCTATATTCATGTTTCTCATACGCAAACGTTAAACAAAGGGAAATGATATGTTGAATGGAATAAAGAAATGCGAATATTGCAAATAACGAAGTTGAAAGCTATGTTCATTACCATGCCCCCAAGTCCTGTAACCAGGCTTGGTTACTTAGTTTCAAGATGGCGGATTAATTGCTTCATGAAAACTTAGTTCAAAACACCTTCAATCATCTCATTTTTCGTAGCTTTAGATGACTTTAAGCTAGTAATGGCATTATTTATTGCTTCTTCGTTGTGTAGAAATACAGCGAGAGCAAGTATCYGTGGTTGTTATTTAAATGCAGCTTCGTTTTCTACACGGTAAGTAAGCACATAACGATTTAATTACACACCAGAGGATGATATAAATAAGCTTACGTTGTATCGGAACGTTTTGTTTTGGTTGTTAAACTTATTCTCAAAGAATTGAGATCCCAGGCAAAAGTTTTGTACGTGACTCTTGGACGCATTTGGCGATTTGGCCACAAACATTGTGCTGTRCGTGGGTGACCATACAATACAATACAATACAATAACTTTATTTATACTTGAATTACAAGATAGCAAGTACATGCTAATATCTCCAAGTTATAAATAACCTAAACTAAAAATTAAAATTACATGATGCTAATATAAAAATATGGATGTAAACAATGAAATAAATATATGTATATATGTAAA